CAATTCCAATTGATGAGGAACCAATTGATATACATAAGAAACAAAAATGATATAATAAATTTCGTGATCCTATTTATGATGAGTTAGAACCAATTCTAATCGAAGAAGAAGAAGAAGAAGAAGTTGATGATATATCTACAACAGAAGATGATCACAGGTTTAGTGATGATGATCGTGGGTTAAGTGAAGATGATGTTTCGATTGAACGATTTACTGCTCCCGATTTTGACGATCTTGATGAATCAGATCATAAATATCCTGACATGAATGTTAACTTTAATGATCTGTAGATATTGTTATGGATATTTAAGTTTCAAGCAAGATTTCACCTTTCTGACGTTGCTATTAATTCACTTATTAAGTTTTTTAATATGGTTTTATTAGATGCTGATCGGTCACGCTTTAAAGACTTTCCTACAAGTTCTTATATAGCAAAAAAATGATAGGAATTGATAAACAAGCAAAGATATATGCAGTATATCCAAATTCCAATACATTATATAAAATTTTAGAAATTTTGCAAAAAAATGTGAACGATAAGTCAAATAATAGGTTTAAATGCATCCATGTGGAATTTTCAAATCATCTAAGAAAAGGCCAAAGGAGTCTTTGTGAAATAGAAATAATAAAATAAATATCGATAGTTAAAGGTTACATTAGAAAACCAAAGATGATTTTTCCCTTGCCATTTTTGAAGGCTCAATTAATTACAATGTATCAGCGACTAGGATTTGAATTACTTTTGAAAAAATGGACCAATCGGGATGATACTGAACTGATAACTGATATTTATGACAGAGAAATATGGAAAACTTTTCCATCACAAATTGACACATCTGATTCTTCGCGATTTTTACATTGGAAACTGCTGATTCTCATTTAGGAATTATGATAAATCTCAATTGGTTTCAACCATTTGATTTATCAGCATATAGTTGTAGCATCATATATGGTGTTATATGTAACCTTCCACATGAAGTTCAATTTAAAAAGAAAAATATATTTATACTTGGACTACTATCAGGTCTCAAAGAAGTAAAGTTACATCAGATAAACTACTATCTTTTCCCGATAGTGGATGAATTATTAGAATTGTGGAATGAATATGTTATACTAATCTCAACAAAATTTCTGAATGGAAAAAGAATTAGGTTAGCTGTCATTTGCTGCTCAAATGATATTCTGACAGCTAGAAAATTGTGCGGTCATATATCGGCATTAACTGGCTGCTATCGATGCTACAAACATGCAAATACAGGAGGTAGAAAACCAAATTTTGATGGGTTCAAAGACATGGATAATTGGTTTCAAAAATGAGACCTTGAAGAACATTTTAGATGATATTAGAAAATTGTAATTCAAAATAGATACAGGCTCATTTATGTATGTATAGTTTTAAAGGTTTTTTTAACTATAGCAATATCTAATAGAACCTAAAAATAATAATTTATAATTAATATTAAAATAATTAATTAAAATAAAAAAATTTGAAGCAATAACCTTAGCTTTATCATCTAGTGAAATTAGAATAACATTTTGTGAAAATACTGATATGAAAACTGATATCAAATAATAATATTTATTATTATGATTATTCATTTTATTTCTTCTAGCAACTACCAATCATATTTATATTAGATGATGATATTGTTTTGCTTTTATTATTTCTGAATATTGATATTGTATTTAACTTTATACTGTAGACTTTAGCATATAAACATTATCATTTTTTCTTGAAGATGCTTAATAGTTCATATTTTGATAATCTCTTTATGATATTTATAATCTGCAATATCAAATTTAATGCTATTATGCATTTTTTTTTAAAAATCAGGATTATTCATTAAATAAAATAAATAACCTGATGTATTATATATTTTTATTATATTTTTATTTTTTAGTTTTTGTCATTAATTTTCTCATACTTTATTTTAAGTTACAGCATTACCTCTTAACTTTTTAAGTTTACTTTTCTTTTTCTATTATAGACTTCTTAAGCTTTTTGATTTTTAAAGTAAATTTTGTATAAAGTGTTAAAGATGTGGTAGTTTACAATAGATTATTATTTTATAAATCTTATTTTAACTTTATTAATAATAGAATCTGACTTTTTTTGTATTATTGCATTTATAGGTAAAAATTGAATATTATTAAAGAATTATCTGAAGATATTAAAAATTTTATTGTAGGTTTTTTTGTAAAGATTATAAAAAAAAATTAAAAGAAAAGGAAAGTAGGAGTTTTTAATAATTTAATATAAGTTTTTGAATATCATCTTTATTTTTGTTTTAACTTTTCACTGACTGTTTTACATAAGTTATTAAAATTCTTTTTTGCTTAATATATTAATTTAGTTTTTTACTATTTCAGAAAATGTGAACATATTTACATAATTTTCATAAAGGTTTTATGTTTTATGGGTTTGCAATTATATAATTCTTGAAACATTTATGTTTCAGAAAATATGTTTCATTTTTCATTTTTTAAAAAAAAGTCACAGTAAAAAAAAAACTTTTTTTTATATTTTCTTGAAATATTAAGATGTTGAAAATTTTCTAAACAACATTTTTAAAAATATATTATTGATTAAATTATATTTTCATATTAATCTAACTTTAAATTTATTTAGCGTATTTATAAAAGTATAATAGTATGATTGGCTAATTTGATAATCCGTAATTAGAAATAAAAAATTAGTATAATATAATTTAATATTAACCCTACTTTTCCTATTAAATGATATTATTTCTGATTCTTTTCTAGGATATATATACATAAAAATGTGCATATATGTATAATATATACATAAATTTTATATTAATAATATGCAATAAAAAAAGGAGTATTTTATATTTTATTATAAAAAAATAGAAGAAATTTGTAGTAAAATATTTATAAAAGTATATTATTATAAAAGGTTTAACAAACTAAATTTTATTTTCTTTTAATTATATTTGATAAGGATATTTAAAAAGGATATCAAAAGTTCAATAATAAGGTAACATTTAAATTAAAGATAGTTCCCATAATTATTTTTAAATTTCATTTGAGTTGTAATCTAATTGCAATATTAATAAATTTAATTGCGACATGAGTTGCAACACAATTGCGATATTTTTGGTAATTGCAATGCTATCTTTAGTTTGAACAGAAAATAGTTTAATTGAATTAATAAATATATATAACTACATATTAATACAAAATTAGTTAGAACTAAAAGATATATTTCAAGATAGATTATAGTATATAAATAAATATAAACTATAAAATAATTTACAAATATCTAAATTTAAGACTTGAAGTTATTTTTTTTTATAGATAAATCAGAATCAATATTAATAATAAAAATTATTGCAATATTTATAATAAGTCTAATTAAGTATTATTTTATGTTATATTTTAATTACTGATTTTTAGAAATATAGTTTAAGTTATATTAAAACTGATATTCATATAAAATAAATGTTAATTAAATTTATGCTAGATTTTTGATTAATCACCTGATTCTTATCATGAATTTTTACTGATAATTCAAAAAAATAGAGTATAACTTGTATTGAAGCATATTTATTTCAATTTTTTGCTATTTTAATAATACTAAAACCACTTTTAATTTAATAATACTTCAAAATGGATAGATAAAAGATTATTCTGCAATTAATATCTTATTATTATTGATAAATGCTAAAAAGACATAAAAAATATAATATAAATGATAATAATAATTATTAAAGAATAGTCATACATATTGCTTTTTAGTTCAATACTTTTAGTATATTTTATCAAATTTTAAATAAATATGAAATGTTTATTATACAAAATAAAAAAGTTTTTTGTTAAAATCATACATTTGAGTCAAATTTTAATATATACTTTGATTAGTTTACTATATAATTTTTTTTTGTATTTAGGGATTCTTATATAATTCTTTACTTTATTTTAAACTAATATAATTTTAATTTTTATAAATTTTTCAAAGCATTTATATGATTTGTAATATTTATTTACTAATAATACTTTTAAGTAGTAATTAATTAAATTAAATTTTAATAAATGAAAGGTTAAGAAAATCAGATTCTGAAAAATTTATTATATTTCAATTTTTGATAATGTTAGGTTTAAAATGATATAAGATTTAAATTTTCTTAAAACCCGATTTTTCTAGTATATAATTAAATAATAGATTCTTTCTTTATAATTAAAAAATAAATATATAATTTTTTTATTTTATTTTCTTTTTATTGTAGAAATTCTATATAATTAAAATATAAGTAAAAGAAAATTCAAGTAAATAATAAAAATCATATAATTAGGAATTTTTGGAGGTTATTTACTAATGAGTTTTTATCATCAATAACCGAGGCTAAACATAAATAATTAAATTAAATAATTTTTTTTAATATTTAATTTAATTTAAACCGATTAATATTAATACCGATTATAAAGAATATATATATATAATATAAAATTCCAAAGCAAAAAACCTAATATTTTTAAAAAGAAGTGATACTATTAAACTTGAGTGTAACGATAGAATATTGAATGGTTTCGAAAATCATTCGTTATAAGCCACTTATGATGAGCAAAAATGATTGGTAGATTTTCAACATTGAATTAAATTTTCCCATAGTGTAAAAAAAACTTAGTTAAAAAAAATGGATGAACATTTTTTCTAACCCAATTCGCATACATGACCACCAAAAAGGTTGGAATTCTTGCTAATGAAACTGATAAAATTAAGCATTCCATTGCTGGAGCCGTTGCGGGCTGTGTCAGCTCTATTGTTACATGTCCTTTAGACGTAGTAAAGACTAGGTTACAAAACCAAGGCAAAATTGTTGATTATAGAGTACCTATTTATCAAGGTACAGGAGGTATATACTTGATAGTAATTCCTTTTAGTTCTTTATAAAAGTGAAATATTTTAATTATATTAAATGAGTTTAGAACTTTAATTGAAATGAATGATGACAAAGATAATTTATTATCTAGGAACTTTGAAACGAATATGGGTAGAAGAAGGAATCCGTGGGTTATATCGTGGTCTTGGACCAACATTATATGGATATCTTCCAACCTGGGCTATTTATTTCAGCGCGTATGATTATTTCAAAGCAGCATTAGGAGCAGAATCAGGTAAAAATCGCATTCTAAAGATACTCTTTCAGAATAAATATTCAACAACTTGTTAAAGTTGATTTAGAAATTTATTGAAAACAACAAATTAAATATATTTTATTATAATGATATTTATGAAGATAATACAATAAAAAAAAATAGTTAATCACGTCAATTAATAAAAAAAAAATGGTGTAATGCATATTGAAAGAATCAAAGGGAGGGTAGTCATTTTAATTAGATTTCTTCATAAAATGTACGCGAATTTTGTTTTATAATATAATTTTTTAATATTTTTTTTTCTAAAGCAAGAACTTATATGACAACATTATTATTATCTTGCTCTTGAAACTAATTTGTGATAGGACAAACCGGACATCACCAATGGGTTGTGCATATATTCGCGGCCATGGGCGCAGGTGCCACGAGTACTATAGTCACTAATCCATTATGGGTGATAAAAACGCGATTCATGGTATTTGTTAATAATGTTAATAATTAATATAATGAAAATGTCGCGCATAATTTTTATTGTCGCGTTTTTTTGCTCATTCGCTCGTTCAATCAAATTTTTTTTTAAAAAAAATTTCATGATTTTTAGTCGATTATTGACAAATTAATCCTGAAAAAAAATTCTCTTTATCATTTAACATTTTATATAAATATAGACGCAAAATGAAACAACTTCATATATGTATAAAAATACATATCACGCTTTTAAAACTATTTATAAAACTGAAGGATTCAGAGGATTTTATAAAGGTCTTGGTCCTTCATTAATGGGTGTAAGCCATGTGGCTGTTCAATTTCCTTTATATGAGAAATTGAAAGTTTGGTTAAGTAAGTTTTAATTTATCATCTTATCTCTTGAACAATGGAATGCATCTAATCTCATGATTTTTTTTTTACTTAGAACATCCTGAACAAGATCATTTATCCAATACTTCGATTTTGTTCGCATCATCAGTTTCAAAAATGGCAGCATCAGTAGCAACTTATCCACATGAAGTAGTTCGTACGCGTTTACAAAATCAAACGGCCAAACCATTCAAGTATAACGGAGTATTACACTCCGTGAAAGTAATAAAACACGAGGAAGGTTGGTTAGCTTTTTATAAAGGGATGTCGACTAATTTATTGAGAACTGTACCTGCGAGTGCTTTAACCATTTTAACTTATGAGATATTAGTTAGAAGGTTGAATGCTAGTGCAGATAAAGGTGGTTGATTTGATTTGATAAGATAAAATATTTATTTTGTTATTTCCATCCATTATTTTTATTTATTTCTTGAAAGAGGGCAAACAAACGAACCTTTTTTTTTATTTATTTTTTTTTTTTATTAAAAAGTTAAATATTGGGGGATATAGACACTTTGGATTTCGTAAATGTATTTTCCATTTGTAATGGTAATGATGGATTATATTGCTATATTCGCATCTGCAATACAGGATAATAAATAAATCAAAAGAAAAAATGTCTTGGGGAAAAAATTTGATTAGATTTTTCATTTACAAAATATATACTTTTATTTAATATTTTGATACCAATAAATATAATCATTATTCAAACAATTTTTTTAAAAAAAAAATTAATAAATAATATTAAAAGCAAGTTCTACAGTAAAATTATTACTTGGATATTCCATATCATAATTCATTAAACAAGAAGGAACACTTATAATCAGAACTTCCATACCAAATTAAAATTTATTCTAATGAATTGATTCTAGGTTGAGATCCTCCAGACGATCCAGCACTTGGTGGAGTAAATAAACTACTCATAAGATCTTGGAATATATTGAATTGTTGTGGTCGTTGTACTCTTAAATTAAAGAATATTTCTCCAATCTTATTTAACAACTTAATAATTTATTAAATTTAAAAATAACTTGAGAATTAAGGCATTTGATTTATTAATAGCAATGCTAATAAAATGGTGAAAAGGTACTTACTTCATCAAAGGAAGGTTCAATTGATAAGGCACTTTTATACTTATTCCTTAACTCAGTAAAGAGATCTGATGCATCTCTTTGAATCGTTAAAATCAAAAACTGCAAAAAGTTTAATAAAGGTAAAGTGTACAAATCCACTTCAATAGGGTCTCCAGTTATTGTTGGTCGATATGGCACGGTCCCTGATTTTATACTTGGATCTTTCTCCATGGCTTCCGAGACAAAAGAATCAAATGAATTCTTTGCATCACGAATATTTCTAAGACATAAGTACCTATAATATTTAAAATACTTTCAGTTTACAAATATTCTAACCGATAAAATACATGTCTTTCCCAAAAATAACATACTGCAAAACCGCGCGAGCTATATAAGCTCCTCTCTTGGATGGGTGGTCTTTGCCTGACCATTCAACCAACATCTTTCCATATACTTTACTACTTTCCGAAGTACCGGCAAGAAAATGTGGTTCGGCTTCGGAATATAGATGATCTATTAAAATCCATGGAAAAAATTGTTAGTTATTACCATTTTATATAAATTGAATAAAATATTGTCTACAATACCTTTATAAAATAACTTTCCAACATAATGATGTAATTCCGGATCACCCGCAGGATTTTCGCTAAATTTTATCGACCAACTGGAATTTTTAAAATGATTATTAAAAAGACAGAATAAAAGGGTAAATATAAAAGGTAATTCATATTCACTTAATCGATGCATCGATAAATCTTTTTCGGCCAGGCTCATCTACTGGGAAAAGTTCCAATAGTTGAATTATCCGAGCTTTATTATAAAATAAATTAATATATAGTAAAACGCGGTAATCCGAGAAAGCGATCAATGAAAAAAAAAGAGGCTAAATACCTTTCGATTCGTCCGTAACTGGCATTTTTTCTTCATTATACGCGTCAATTAAATACAAGGATAAATCCGAACCACTGCCAGTTTGCTTATGCTTAAGTAAGGTATGTGCACCGGAAAATAAAAGATCAATTGCACTTTTATACTTTTTTTGTTTAATGTATCTATAATTTTAAATATTTTTATAAGAAATAAAGATTTAAGATGTATAATACTGATTGACAGTAGTTCACAGTATTCAAAGTTTTTAATAATAACTTACCGTCTACAGACAGTACGATACATTTGATGGGCTTCATAATATTTTCCTTCTTCAACAGAAGCATTAAGTTTGTCAAGAACCTTATCTGTTCCTTTCGCGTTTGACATTGTTTTTAGTTAGCTATATAATTATATCGATACGTTCTAAAATTTTTAATAAATAAGATACGCTATCTCAGTAATTAGTGATCGGAAAATAAAAGAAATATTGCTATTTGTATCAACCGAAGTAAATGAATGCATTTGAAAGATTTTTTTATATGAATTTATAAATCAGGTCAGGTTCGATCAACTGTCTGATTTTCTGATTAGGTTAAAATTTTTGATGTTCTTAAATTTATGATTATTGGAATGATATAAACTTCTTTGTTTTTATTATATAATTTTAATAATAAAAATTTCAACATCGAATTGTTTATAACTTTCTTTGATATAGCTGTATGTATATATACTCTACCACATTTGTCTTAGTCGCATATTTTTATTAATCAAATAACTCAAAATGTTAATAGATTATTTTTTTAATTGTAAATTTACAGAAATTATTTATATTTTAATATTAAAAATTTTAGATTTATTAATTTAAAAGATTATTATAAATAAAACTAGAGTTTTAGCAGAAAAGAATATAACATTTAAATCCCTTATAATAAAAAAATGAGAATAATAGCCCTAAGAAAAAATAAAATAAATCATAAAAATGTAATCATAATATAATAATAGAGCAATAATATATAATATATTATTAATAATATTAATAATAATACCTTTTTTTTTTAATCTAAAACTTAATTAAGTTTAGGAATCTTAATAAAAGATTAAATAAAAATATCAACCTTTATATCTAAATTCTCTAATCAGATTTCTTAAGATTAAAATATCTAATATATTAAATTCTTCCTATATAAATTTATTTTTCATAGCTTTATAGAATAATAATTTATGATTATAAAAAATTATTTATTAAAACAAATAGTGATAAATTTCTGATTAAATATAAAGAGTAAATAAAATGAAAATAGAAAAAATGAATTTGAAGTTTAAATATTTGAATTATTGTTAGTTTTTTATAATTTATAAAATCAAATAATATTAATCTTAAAGTATTATCTTAAATAATCAGATTATATTGCTGTAAACTAAATTTGAAGTAATATATTTAAATTAAAAATATTGAATTAAAATTACAATATATTAACAATTATTATATAAATATAATCATAATCAAAAACAATTAACTTATAATTGATTTAACTAATATAACTAAGTGATTTATTGTAAAAGTTATATGTTTTGAAATTAATATAATAATTTTTTTATATTTATTATAATATTATTTATAATTTCTATATTAAATAATGTTTTTTTTAAAATCTTATTTGGGGTATACTACAACAAAACTAAACAAGATGAACATTGATATTATCAAGGATTGCAAGGATCAAAATTTGTAATATGATTATAATTTGTTATCTTAAATAATATATATAGAATTAACCTTATATAAAATAATAATATTAATTATTAATTAACTTCATTAATATAGATAAGATTTTTGGGATATGATTAAAATCAAAAATAACATTTAGACAAAATGGCATATTAATATATAAATAGTATGATGATCTTTCATAGAGAAAAAATGTATTAGTTGCTAGTAAAAAAAAAGAAAAAGTTGTCTAATAAGAATTTAGTCAGTATAAATTGTTTAGATATTTTAGATATTTAGATATTGCAATATTAATTATTTAAATTGTCTATTAATTTATTTTTAAATATTATCTAAATGTATTGATTTAAATACTTATCTATAGTGATTATATTTATTTAAAAATTTAGTATTTAAATATTTAAATTTTTTTCAAAAAAATTTGAATTAAATTCAAATTTAAAAGAATATTTAAATTTTCACCACAAATTCGAACTTTGTGTCATTAAATTTTATTAGAATTTTAATATTAATATTATTATCATTATTATAGCATTTTACTAATTTTAATATATATTAAGATTCAGGAAAATGCTATTTAATAATAGCATGCTTTTTTTGAGAAAGATAAAATTTTTTATAAATTTAGGATCTAACCTATTTCTTTTTATAATGATGTGATTATTCATATTAGAAAAAAGTTTTTCACTAGATACTATTATTTGATGTTTCAAAGAAAGTAATAGCAATAATTATAGAAATTGAGTCAAAAGCAAAGCTCCAAACAGTTCAAATCAATCCGAAAAATTTTCAGATCAGTTCAGTTTTTTTAGTTCAGATTGTAAAAAAATCAATCCGAAAAATTTCAGATCAGTTTGAATTTTTTTGGATTATAATTCAATCTGAACTGAAAAAATCTGAACTGAACGAATTCAATCTGAAAGTTTTGGATTGATCTGAAGTATCAGTTAATAATAAATGCCTTTAAATTTTGTGACATTTTTTATTAAGAAAATAACTGGTAAAAGTCACATCTGAATTGTCAGAAGTGACTTTTAAAATACAATAAAGTCAAATCCAAATTGTCAGAAATGACTTTTATTAGAAAAAAATACTAATAAAGTTACCTCTGACAGTTCAAGTGAGACATTTATAATAAAAAAATAGTTGCACTGAACTGTTAGTGCTAGGAAAATAATAATAACAATCGCATCTAAACTGTTAAAAGCAGTTTTTATTATTTTTTTTATAATAAAAGTCATCTCTGACAGTTCAGATGCAGCTTTTATTATTATTTTTATAATAAAAGTCATCTCTGACAGTTTGAATGCGACTTTTATTATTATCTTTTATAATTAAAGTCACCTCAGATGTAACTTTTATTATTATTTTTTATAATAAAATTGTCTGAAAGTTCGGATGTCACTTTTATTATTATATTTTACAATTAAAGTTATCTGACAATTCGGATGTGACTTTATTATCATATTTTATAACAATCGCAGCGCATTTTTCCAATTTTGAGTAGCAAACTGTGTTACATATAGTGCTGATTAAAGATGGTACAGCAATTGATTTCAAATTTACAAAATGTTGCAACATAAGCTAAAATTAGTTGCAACATAT